TCTGCACCAAGAATGACTACAGCCAGTCTTCATAGACATCAAGGACTTCCTGCATAGACAAGGTAAGGAGGGCATGAATCATCCAGATAGCTTTCCAGATTCACATTTTTAAAAAACAGGGTTGTGCACCCAACCGACTCCCCACCTCTCCCAAGTATATTCCCAAGGGAAGGGAAGTAACTCTTGACATATCATGTTGATCAGTTGGCTTCATCTGGAAAGCGTTAGCAGACAGTATTACTTGACTTCAGTATTCTTTTTCATTTATGGAAGTATTAACATAAAATTCAGTGTGCACACTGTAGCGGATGTACGCAAAATGTGCTGACCAGTTTTATGTTTATGCTCAATTAAACAGAAGACAAACAGAAATAAAAGGTTACATATACATGTAACAACAATAATAACTTCAAAGACAGCTAATTTAATCATCAACACACAAAATATTGTAGGCACTGTATGTCACATTGTTCAGCACAATAATGCAGCACAAGCCCCTGCCATGCGGAAAACAGTAGTCTGTATGGCCTCTTTTGTTCGCTTTTTGGAAACATGAATGCAAATAGAAAATCCTTGTTTGCAAAGAGTCCCATAAAGCAATGTCACGGCACATTGACTCAGGGTTATAAATAACTGATGATGACGTCAACCATTATTCTCGATGTCACAAAAGAGATTATGTGAGGAGTGTTTGTGAGGTTGTAACAGAATCATATATATATATATTCATTGACACTTCTGACTGTTCCAGGCAAACAGAAGTACACACTGCCCATCTACAAGGCCCCGATGAGGGGATCGGACGCAGCTACGACATTTGCCTCCACAAGGCACTTGTTGAGTACACGATGCAACTGAAGATGAACCATTGTAAAGATACAATCTGTCTTTATACATATCTAGATACTTTTACAGCAGACCACAGAACAGTCAATGTCAGTATCTGATGAAGGACACAAGGAAGTAAAATCAGTTCATTCCCGGATTCACAAGTCCTGGATAGGGAGTTATGGTCCTTGGTATGTCGTGATAGATTTAGATGAACAGAGAAACATTGTTGGTCCTATTTGAAGAAAGGTCATTTGTCCAGACTCTTGTTGTTCCTGCTCTCTATGACAGTTAACACATTCTCCTTTCCCGGACAAGTGGATGTTAGTTTCTTATTTTGATATGTGAACGACATACTGAGGGTGCATACACAAAATTATGCCTTGAATGGATTCAAGTTTGTTACTTGTATATTTGTGTGCCTTTGATTATACAGTAAAATTATACAAATAAATAATTGTATTGAGATTGAATCATATCTGGCAACTTTCCCTCAACGTATCAAAAAACAATTTTGTTATGAATTCATTTTCAAAGCACTGCATCACTTCAAATGGCATAAGCAATAGTGAGAAATGAAATGTATTTTTCTGAGACTATGATTTTTGAACAAGCTCAAACTATCATGTAAGCAAACTTCATGTCACTTTAGAAAGAGTTTGCACTGAGAATAACTTTGAAGTAGTCTAATCAATAGTAATCTGTGTATAAGATTGTTGTCACTCATTGTTAAAATTCACTGCAACTGTCATGCTTTTGTGTTATCTTTTCTTATCAAATGTTTTTTTCTACATTGGTCAGATCTCTTTGTCATAGAACTGAGCCGAGGTTGTAGGTGCCTTGCATTAGACATATGGTTACTACTCAACTTGAAATAAGGAAATTGAATTAAATCAGTGTGGCTCCAGGGTAAGAAAATAGATCCCAGGCAAGAGAGGCGACTAAGGGGATGGGGCGGTCAGGCTCGCTGACTCGATTGATGCATGTCCGTATTCCAGTTGCATGGATCGGTGCTCGTGATGGTTGTACTACTGTGGATTGTGGCGTTAAACTACAAATAAACAAACACTCTGTTTTGTCATGTTCTTTATAACCGAAGTTGATTTATCCCATTTGACGACAGCAACTAATACATCTGTAGCCTCTGGTAACATACATACTCCCGTGAAGATCTGGGTTAGAATGGGTCTTCAGAAACCCGTGTTTGTCGTAAGAGGCGACTGACTGGGTCGTGTGTCAGTCTGCCTGACTTAGTTGATGCATGTCATCGTACCAAATTGCCTAGATCAATGTTCATGATGTCAATTACTGGACTGTCTGATCCCGACTCCAGAGCGCAGTTCAACAACAAACAAACAGAAACAGTCATACACAAAGACATGCTTCATTGTTCTACACTTTGAGTGAAGAAACAAACAATCAACATGAATGGGGAAACAGTCACATTCCGTCTCAAGTCCTCAGCAAGTGTACATCAGTTTCCAGAGGTTTAGGCCATTTCACAAATTTCGATCTTCAAGCTCATGTGTCTTGGAGAATCTAAAATGTAAACCAAATGTCAAACATGAAGCATTTATTACAACTAGAAAAGGGGATATTGATAAACAGATACTTAAATGTTTTAACACACATCGTACTACAATGCAAGGGGCCTTTGCCACAAGCACGGATTTGGTTGTGACAAACAGCAACAATGAATGCGAATCTGGATTCGAACCCATGATTATCGGTTTCCGGCACACAGTGGCACACATCTGCATAGTGAACTCAATTGGCTTAGACGACTGGGCCACCCGTGTCCCTCTTACCCGATTATATATATATATATATATCAGCTCACTTCGTTATAACTGTAGTTAATTCATTCCATTTGATGACATCAGTTAATACATGACTCATGAAACAAACATACCCCAAGTGTAGATCCGGGATAGAATGGGTCTTCATCAGACCATGCTTGTCAGGGGCGACTAACGGCATCTGTTATCAGGTTCGCTGGCTGGCTGATACATGTTACCGTATCCCAATTGCATGGATGGATGCTCATGGTGGCAATCACATGATTGTCTGGTCCAGATTCCCGTGCGACGTTAAACAACTAACAATCAAACAAGTAAACAAATTTAACATAGAAATACACCATTATGGTAGGCTTTGATCAAAACAACAAACAATCAGCAAGAAAGGGGAAACAATCACATTCCTTGAGATATGGAGTCCACTCCACATGTACATCACAGCGCTCAGAGGTTAAGACAAATTTCACAAATTTCGACTTTCAAGTCCATGTGTCTTGGAAAAACTAAAATATATACACAATATTAAACATATAGCAAGTACTGCGAGAGAAGGGGACTTTGTTCAACAGATAACATAATCTATATATTGAACACTTGAATCCTTGTGGTTCTACAGTGCATGTGAAGTAACTGCTGAACATGACCCATACTGTCTAAACAAGCAATTTATTGCCATGTCACTTCAGACATGTCCCTAACAGACCTGGCCCTATCAGACCGGACACCCATCAGTCCGGACCCCCGTCAGTCCAGACCTTCTGGACGCATTCTGATACGCTGTCCTTTTTGTACACACCTGAGGAAATTTTAGGGATATGAAAGGACCAATGGCAAGAGTCATTTTACTACCTGTTCACTCTTCTGTTTCTGTGAACCATACAATACGATACAACCATCTTGCAGTCATCTGGAGAAGCATGCATTGTCCTTGTTCAACCCACAAGCAGGTATCCGCATCAAAATGAGATCAATGTCACGTGTAGATATATTCTAAACATGACGAACTATTAAACTGAAAACATGTGACGTTTAACTTTTCCCAAGGTGTATAATAGTAGATGTCACGAGCTAAATCCAAGCAGTCCACTATTCATTTCAAACTAGTTGTTTGTATAACATCACCAGTCCTTACAATCCATCACTAGTCTCGGACCAGCAAACAAGTGGCCGAGACTAGTGATAACTACGCTACTCCCAACGAATGAAGAAAGGGTTCCACTGTACCATACTGTTTAAGTGTATACTTTATATGTATAACTGTTTTGATATCTGATTGCTGACACAGTATTGGACATATGAGTCAGACTATTATAATAATGTAAACGGTCGGAATGACATCTACAAACTATGCTTATAAAGGGTGTACTAAAAGTGTAATAAATAATATTACCTTTGCAGCAACACCTGTACATTCTAAAGGACAAGATGGTTGTGGAGAGAAGAAAACAAAGTTGAATAGTATTAATGTTCAAAGTCAATTTTATCAATTTGAGTGATTATTGGAAACAGTTCAACAACAACAGTTTTTATTTAATTAATCTATTCACATGCTAATAATATATATAGGAAGATAAAACACGGTTTTGTACGGTAAACGTGATATATCATTGACATATTTCTTAAATGTGCAAGTCAACATTTATGAATGATAAGAAAAGTGAGAGTACAAATAAGAAATAAAGCAGAGCAATTAAGGGCGACAAACGTTGGAGTTAGTGTATACAACAAACGGAAGTTGACAATTGATTATTTAACGCACACATTCTCTTTCATCACTTCACACACATTCAGTCATCATGCGCTCTCAATGTTATTGACATGTGAACATTCAAAATGAGAGGAAGACATTCTATGTGTCAAGAACAATGACAACAAGAACAAACTGCAGTTTAGTGGCATAATAATCGTACATGAATTATCTTACCTATTCCTACATCATTAAAGTAGTTATAGACAAATATTATAATGGAGACGTGCATAACTCAGATCCTTTTTCTGACTGTAGATTTTTCGCAACTGCATTTCAAACTACACATGTAATAATAGAAATATATTTTTGTAGAATAAAGAATAGTACAGACGTATATATCTGGCACATTAATTTAAACAAAACATCGCAAATTATGTATTTCATATATTTGTGTAAACAAACAGGCTTTTACAAGAAAATATAGTTTTATAGTATAAAAGATGTTGGGATAAAACTAATGAAACAAAAATAAACAATATATGCAAAAACAAATATGGAAATACTTTATACAGGTGGGGGCGGGAATTACATAAATGTCCGCCGATTTTATCTTCTGGGGGCGAGCCTATACCAATAAAAGTTGTCCGGGGAGGGGGGGTATCGGGGGGGGGGGGGGTCGCTGTGTGGTGGTGGGTGTTATTTTGCGACACTGGGACAATAATTGCTAATGTGTCGTTTCTGAACACCAGCTGCGGTTCCACTTATGGCTTGAGTATTCTAAATTTAGATGCGACATATTGTTTCCGGTTCAAAATTCAATACAGGGATAAATAACACAGCTCTACCCTGTAAACATGGTATGTGTATACTGATATTAAATTCTGTTCAAAATGCAAGGTATCTTTAAACTTACCTGTATCAGCACCTGTTGTTGATTGATCAGAAGTGAAACGGTAGCCTCCACTTACAATTTCGTCGGAAAACCCATATACAGCGAATCTGCTGGCAGAGCGGACGATGTATCTGGTGTATGAACAGTGTGTTCCCGCTTTGTAATCACTGCCGGGGATGTCCACCCAGTCAAATGTAACAGGGGCTATATCATCAGACAATACTTCAATATCCGTTACGTGTTGCTTAGTCAGTATGTTTATACAGGTTGTATAAGGAATCAATGCACTGTTCACGAAATACGTAACTGGAACTACATCAACAAACCCAAGTGAATATACATCTGGTCTGTTTCTACAGAGGGTGGCCATGACAGGCCTTGTGGCATTAAGATATAGACTTTCATTACAAGCGAGGTATTGGCGATATACACGGTCGTCACCCAGAGAGAATGTAGATCCATTGTTCAACATAATTTCAGTGTTGCTCTGGTCACTAATAACTTGTAGCTGGTATGTTGCGTTCCCATAACAGAAGTAGTCCCCTATGTACATAACATACTCCGTCCCATGATGTCGTACAGGTAATAGTTGAGTCACGGCCGTGAAGTAATCGCCTTGCATTGCACCACTGAACACAGCTACAGTGTTTGTTGCGTTGATTACAGTTCCAGTCAGATCATAGTCACTCTTCATCGTGAAGGTCTGATACTCATCTAGAGTCACGTGAATCGTGTCTCCGTCATTGTAGGTGATGTTGTCATAGGTGACGTTCCCCTCCAGCATCAGCGTGATGTCCACGTCTGTCTTGTGGTTGTGGTTAGCTATCACTAACACCACGTGGCCCATGTCTCCCAGACAGGTGGATACTACATATCTGGACCCTAGGGCAAAGATCGGGAGGGGAGAAAAGACGCCATTTCCAATCTGTGTGTGAAGGCCCATGTTCTTACCAAAGACATGGATTACGAAAGCCTTGTTTTCCACACCCACCGTCACCCACAATGACATATCTGTGTGAGCATAAGTGTACCCGTATGGCGTTACAGTCCCTGTGACGTTATATCCCAGCTGTGGATAATCAACCAGAAAGGATCCCCCTGTTTCCCCAGCTGCCACTGCAACTACATCAGTATAATGCCAGCTATATTGAATAGATGCCAGTAGGTAGCTCTCACCTGGAAGAAGCATACACAGTTTGTTAGTAGTGTTTTAGATGGATAACAACTGTACATCCTAGCTTCTGACATTGTCAATCACATTGTTTTGTTCATCACTTCCTCGGTAAGTTACAGTGACGGTGTAACTGTAGGGCATTCTGAACATTCCCATGCTGAATGTAGTTGTCACCCGTTTGGATTGACTATATGTTTTACAGCGATACAGTTGGTCGTAACATGACTGTCAGCATAAATATGTGGCCACATCTACCGAATGGAAGTGTATGAAACAGTTAATATGAAAACATAAGTATGATCATGTGTGCTGCTGTGGATATGAATACGTCCCACTGTTATTATCGTAGTTAGCGATTCAGAGAGTCGCCATACATTTGGAAAGAAAAGTTGAGCACTACTCTTCTTTATGTTCCTTTACCCCGTCCTGTTATGTATCTCTGTACATATGACGTTGATGTCTGATATATATATTAAATACCACCGATATATGTTGAAAATGTAGCTTCAGAATATAGTGTGTTTCTTAAGATCGTCACGAGTTCTGAGGCATATGGTAAGACGCAAAGCTTTAGAAGGATGTTCAAAAATCTTTAGCTATTCAGTTAAAGCACATCACTTTAGATACTCGTTTCCGGTATAGTATTTGAAAACGAGCATGTCATAATGGAAACAAAAACAAATATGTCAAGTGATTTTAATATATTTTTATTTTGTATGGAATGTGCTGACTCCGAAGCGACCATTGTTTGTTTTATCCCCATAATGCCGACATTTTACCAAAACTCAAATAATAGATCTATTCAGATATTATTAACCATTTTATATATCATAAGACTTATAATATTCTCAACAACAAAAGTTCCTGTGACACCAATGTTTTAGTGTATTTTTCAAACAAGTAAAGTTTGTTTTTCAATATTGTAGTTCTTGAATTGAATCAACTCACAAAAACGCAACTGCTACAGAAAAGCATGCATTTCATGCAAAAGTTGACTTTTATGCAAGCCCCATGTATTTTACTAGCCAAGAATGGGCATAAAAACATGCACGTCAACAGGATTCCATATGCATTGTTTAGCTGCGTGCTGACAACAACCACTCAGAAATACAACAAAATTAGGCAATTATTCAACATTACGAAGAGCCACGCCTGTCCGAAAATGAGCGTCTGCGAGCCATTGGTATGCTTGAGTTAGGATCGAGTCAACGTGATGTTGGAAGACAATTTAACGTCCACAGAAACTCCATTTGGTGTTTATGGCAACGTTGGCAACAGATGAATGCAGTCAGAGACCATCCTCAGAATGGCTGACCACGCATAACCAATAACCAACAAGACAACTGGTTTCGAACAACACACGTACGAAATCGATTCCAGTCAGCAACAGTGACTGCAAGAAGAATCCCTGGCCTTCGACGAATATCTTCACAAACCGTATGTCGTCGCCTCAGATGTGCAGGGATTGTTGCCAGAAGACCCGCCAGACGCGGGACGGCCATGCAGTGGGGAGAAGTTCTATTCACTGACGAATCTCGTTTTCACACCAGTCACAGCGATGGACGGATTCGAGAGAACCGACGTCGAGGTGAGTCATTGTGTCATTGGAGAAGGTCGGTTCGGGGGCGGCAGCGTTATGGTATGGGGTGGGATTACAGCAAGACAGAGGACCCATTTCATAATAGTAGAGGGAAATCTCAATGGACAGCGCTACCGCGACCATCGGCCCTGTTGTTCTACCGTTTTTGCGTCGTCATGGCCTGGGCATTACCTTTCAACATGACAACGCCCAGCCTCATATTGCTTGACTTGTTCAGGATTCTCTTCAACAAAACAACGTGAATGTCATCCCCTGGCCAGCTCGCTCCCCTGATCGCTCACCAATCGAGCACATGTTGGATGAGATGGATCGGCGCCTTCGACGTGAACCACGTGTTCCACAGACACTCCAGGAACTTCGAAACATGCTCCAGCAGATATGGACAGATATCCCACAGGACTTTGTGCGACGCCTGGTCCATTCCATGAGACGAAAATGTGTTGCTTGGATCGCAACCAGAGGTGGACACACACGCTATTGATTTGTAAATTGACATTTTGGCATGTCCATGTTGTTGTTTTTTATGAAATCACGCATTTTCTTAGTCAGTATGGCAAATTAAACCATTTGAACATTTACAGGAGTTTTTTATCCGTTGCAAACCGAAATTGTTTCAGATTTGGTAAAAAACAAAACTTTGCATTAAATCTTATTCGATGTCACAGGAACTTTTGTTGTTCAGTATAATATTTTAGTATTACAACTTTGAAATACATGTTTGTTATTCCTTATATTGTGTATACTTGCATCACATCGGGCTTTCCTCCAACATCAAGCTAACATGCCATGATATAACTGAAATACTGCTCAAAGCGGCTTTTAACAAATCTCGCATACTCAAAGAAGCTATGTCTATACTTATACCATCAGTGTATTCTTGTCCGCCAGTCTGGGTGTTGTTAGATACAGGTGTGGGTAGTGCCGTTGTACCTGCGGCAGTTGAGGCCGGGGTTTGTGTCATCGGAGTTGCTGAACCTAAACAGAAACCAGATCTTAGATACTCTTTTAAGAGTTGCTAGTCCGAGGTTTCAAATCACATAACATTCTTCTTAACATGAAAACAGCTGATATTAATGTCGCAGATTCGCGTATTAATTTCAACACTACTCTACATTCGATAGCTTTATGTCATGTCTAATTCACGCATGTGGAATATACATAATCCCTAAAATTATATGCTTATTATGTAAATATACATATGACCTTTTTGGTACTATTCTTTTGGTATCAAGACTCGTTTGTGCATTCCAGCTCTTGTACAGATTCTATTTGAAATGCTCCAATTTGGAATGCTTCATGTAGTTGCAGCTGGCAAAACTACCTGGGACTCACATAGTGGTAGGGGTATGTAATAAGGTTTCCTTCTCTGCAGTCATACAGAATATAGAATGACAGACATGACGTGACTAGGCCCTGGGGTTACTATGACACAGGGGAACTCAGGCGTACAGAAGAGGACATAACAACATGTGCAGACAAATGTTCCCTTTGTCCTCTCCATGCCCGGCGTATTAACCTTGAAGTTCAAAACTCCCTGGGGGAGGAGTTGATCAATCAACTACTTAGAATAACAGATGTGCTTGAAAGGAATTTGATAGTGGAGGCATGCCTCATGAGTAAATGTCTTACTTCTTTGAGTGGCATTTAGAAGTTGGAATGGTAACTAAGACAAAATTGTTATGGATGAGCAACTTCTTTATTACAATTGGGCGACGTTTCGGTGCAGATTCTAACACCGTTATCAAGCAAATGATTTGCTTAGAATCTGCACCGAAACGTCACCCAATTGTAATAAAGAAGTTGCTCATCCATAACAATTTTGTCTTAGTAAATGTCTAGTTGAAAAGAAAGACAAGGTAAGAAATGTCGACGAGAGTTCACTGTATCAGGTCCTGTGGAGTTTCATTTTCTGTTTGGGAAAAGAGATAGAGCAAAAAACTAAATTGGACTCTCGGTACAGGAAAAGAAAAAAGCTTTTGAATGATCTACCTCCAAAGCTTTGATTCTAATTAAATCCTGACACTGAGAGCCAGCGTCCCTGGTTTTGTTGCTCGCTATGGCTCTGTTCGTGATTCAATTGTCAGGCCCTTGAAAAAATTAATGATGAAATAAATAAGACACACCAACCAAAATCAAATGTCCGAAAACTAATGGAGAACCATAGAGATCTTTATTGAGAAAAGAGCCAAAACACCAAAAGGAAGGCTGTGTATTGGCAAGAAACGATGATTGAAGTGAGACAGGCGAAAAGGTCAAACATAAACAAAGAAATTACATCTTAACCATTCCGAGATGTCAGTTTGAGTGAACTGTCAGTCTCGGAGCTCCGTGACTTCTTACAAACTCATAATGTGACAACAAAGTCCAAATCAAGGCCCAAACTTCTAGAGATGGCAAGCAAATATAAGAGATATTTGTACGTCTGTTTATGTGTTTAGGACATGTGAAATCCTAGTGTTAAAGTTTAGCATAATGCAATATATTATTAATTTCTTCATGAAAAAAGATATCTTACCTCGATGCAACATTTTGTTTATGTCGTGTGTTGGCTGATATTTCGACTTTTAAGGTGCTTGTATAATTGTTTTGTTCATAAGGTAATATCATCCCTTGTGGTAGTTTTTTCAAACAGGTTGTATTGCAAAATATACTTGAAATGATTACTTTACATAATATTCCGATTGTAAACCAATATATGATGAAAATATTAAAGTATTACGTACCAAGTTATACATTCATATGCATTCACATAATACAAAACAATGTTGTTTTAGTTATCCACACAAACTGCAATGTATACTATCTACACAGAATTTATCTACACGTGGGCTCGAACATACAGTGTACAGCACTGGGGTCGTGCTATAATTGAAAACACTAATTAACTCTTGCTTATTAACCACAATTAGTACTGCAGGAGTAATCGCCGATGACTGCAAGATAATATTATCAACGCATTATTTGGCCTTTTCGTTGTGCATGAGTAAGGTTTCATGTATCCGTTGTCGTTACACTGACAATAAGCATGTGTTATTGCAAAAAACCTGTTTTAAACGTGTCCTGAACAAACTCAAATTATGATGATAATAAAACGTTAACGTCAGAGAATAGTCTCTCTTGATTATCCCCCGAATTAGATTCAACTGGGCGAAAAAGGCAAAACAGTGGTGACAATTATGAGAATGTATCACAACAAATCAGGTATGACACCAGGTATTAGCGAACAAGGCTCAGCATGTCCTGCTCTACCGCTCACGCCTATCCAGTCTTTGTTAAACAGTGTTTGATTACAATAACAACTAATTGTTATATCAAGCGGGTATGAAACACAAACATGCGTTGTTATACCTAATTCTTTCTTCATAACAAACCCAGTTAACGTAAAAGATTAGTTGACATCATAGAAACAATGTATGTGTGGATAGGTATTCAAGGGGATATGTATAAACAGGGTTGTTAAATCAGGGAACATGTATACTCACTGAAACGTTTAGGGAATATTCCCTGCGTGAATCAGACATTACATATTTAATGTAGCATTTACACTACATTCCACCATCGGTGGATCCATTGGAAATATTCCATGCAGTCGTTGTTTCCAACCAACAAATCAAGCGACGGCTAGATGGTAACAACTAGTACCAAGACCAACAAGCACTCAGAATACGTCACATAATAGGAAATATTTCCCTCTTGACACAATGTGCAACGTAGGCCATAGTCTTCTCTTTAAATTGATTAAATGTCAGACAACTGTAGGATTTTTCACAAAGTTGATGGTATAGGGCTCATTTGACTTTAAACAACCTCATTTAATTTAAGCTGACTAAAAAATAGACACGCGTTACTACCACACCGCATACCGGTGCAGTGTATACACAGCCAACTATCTCACCTTACATGACAATACTAGCTTCTGTTTGGTTAAGGAGCGGGCAATTATTTTTGCATGTAGACTGTTCATGTAGCCTACTCATGTAGCCCGCTCATGTACCCCGCTGAGAAATCGATCAGAACACACCTTGAGTAACGTGGGTTCGAAGTTCAGTGAGAATACGTCTCATAACGCCAAAGATACGATTAACTCTTTCCAGAGGACTGTTGGTAAGGTAATGCTTAAGCCAACAAGAATGTTCTTATTACAACAAAAGATAACATACCGTCAACGATTCCAAGTAATACCAGGAGTAGTGCCACCTCTATGAAACACTCCATCGTTACAGACCTTCGCCTGTACGGTATAGAGCTGTGACTACGCTCTGTTTGGCAGGGTGGTTTCAGGTAACCTGTAATGTTTGGAGGACACCTCACTGTGCCCTCACCTATTGTGGTGGGTAAAAGGGCAGTCGGCTTTTGTAAATGGGGTGACAATTTACTATAGTCTGGCATATGTTTATGCAATTATATATATACAAGGACTTGTCAAAATGTTCTAAGCCTAACAAACAAAACCAACAATTTTTAAAGTGTTTATTTTTATTTTTCAACATAATCTCATTGCTTTTCAATACACTTCTCATATCGAGCTTTTCAATTCTAGTCAGGGAAGTAGTTTTCGAATTCTGAAGCCACACTGAAAACCCCATTCGTGGCAGCTTTGAGGACACCGTTGTCGTGACAGCGCTTCTCACGTAGGTGTTCTTTCAGTTTAGGAAACAGGTGGAAATCACTTGGTGCCAGGTCTGGCGAGCATGTAGATTGAGGAAGCTTTTCGAACCCACGTCGTCACACAGCAGCCTTTGCAAGTCGAGAGGTGTGAGAAGAGGCACAGTCATGAAGTAGTGGGACTCCAACAGTCGACATTCCTCGCCGCTTTTCTTTGATAGAATCTTCCAGGCGATGCAGCGAATGAACAATGTAGGCACCGGCAATCATCTTTTGACTTTCAGTGTAATCAACAAGGAGCCGACCCTTTGCGTCCGAGAGTACAGTGGCCCAAACTTTCTTCACTGATCTGGAAGACTTGAATTTCTTTGGTGCCGGAGAAATGGAATGTTGCCATTCCATGGACTAACGTTTTGACTCAGGATCAAAGTGGTAGACCCATGTTCCATAACCTGTTACTTATGAATTATGAATTTGACAACATCCTCATCAATTAGCTTTTAGTGTTCTCTGACATGTCAGTTCTTTTTTTCTTTTAGATCAGACTTTAGAAACCTTGGCACCCAACGAGCAGATATCTTAATCATCTGTAAATGTACTTTTATCTCAAGTCCCAAACTGTTCATCTCCATTTCAAACGGCCCCAACAGACCAAATACAGCAACTTGCAATGAACTACTCAAACAATATATTACATTGACTATTTCACTTTGTTATGTTGAAAGTTAGTCAGGCTAAGAACCTTTTGACCAGCCCTCGTACACATTACAAATCTACAGATATAATACACTATAAAATACATTGCAGAATCCCCATTAAGATACATATTCAATTGATGTCAATTATATGAATATTGTTATTGATTTAATTGACATATCTAATGGTTAACGCCTACATACATCTTCAAACATTGTACGATACATATTCTCAAACATGCTCTGGAAATACATGTTATGAAATGGTTTGTAATGTACAGTTAACATGTTCATTTACATATACAACCATCTTCAAACACGTTCACAGGCCGTAAGATACTAGTGATACTACTTGTGTTGATGGCCTGACTGTATGCTACTAATGATACTGCATGTGTTCATTCCCTAGCTTTATGATACTGGTGGTACTGTTTGTGTTGACAACTTGGCTGTATGCTGCTGATGATGCTGCTTGTGTTCATTGCCTAGCTGTATGACACTGGTGATACTACTTGTTTTCATTGCCTGGATACTCATGTATGATATTGGTGATACTGCTTGTGTTGATAGCCTGACTACACAAAGTGTACACACCTGTTTTAATACCATCCAAAGTGCAATAAAACAGATTGAAATGTTATATATTAATGCATCAACAATAACAACTTCACAGACGGCTTATTAGGTCATTAACACACACAAAAATGTATGCAACAATACGAAATCAATGACATCGTTCAGCTAAACATATAATGCAACAAAAGCCCTTCCTATCCTATTATTAGCCAATCAGGAAACACTCGTCCGTTTGTGGGCATGGTCTCTTTTTTCCCTTTATAGAAACATGAATGCCAAAAAAATAATCTTTGTTTGCAAAGAGCCCCATAAAACAATGTGACATCATATTAATGCACTGTCATGAATAACTGAAGATGACGTCATCCATTGTTCCCGATGTCAGAAGAGAGTTTATGTGAGGAGTTGTTTGTAAGGAGGTTTCTGATTGTGAAAGAAGCATATATTCATTGACACTTCTGACTGTTCCAGGCAAACAAAAGTACACACTGCCCATCTACAAGGCCCTGGTGAGGGGGTCGGACGCAGCTAAGACATTTGCCTCCACCGTCTACGAGGAAACCAAACATCGGCTGCATTTGCAAGTCTCCAACTACGTGGCTGAAGCAAAGGGCTGAAGAAATAACGTCACACCTGCTGGTGGTGTCATACAGAGACGGAAGGAGGACACAGTCAACTTTCTTAAGTCTTTCAATGAGATTATTTTGAGAGATAGTAGTAGCCTGTGTACCGAAATGTCGCTTTGAAAGAATGAAGAAGTTAAAAATGATAAGACAACTCTGTGTTCCTTGATACTACAGCTTTCGAATGCCCTTGAAGCTATTGATTGAAGGAGGAGGAGAATAATGAACTATCAGCGTGACTGGATGATCCTCTAATGTCATGGGGGAAGTCCGTTGTGATAGTGCACTTATTCAGATGTCAGATTTAATACTTTTATACACATTCAATCTTATAATAAAACTTTTCTTTATTTATCTCTCGGAATATGTGATGATAGTATCTGTCTACCATGATTTTAGGGTATATTTGAGTGGTTAGTGAGAGGGATCATGTCAATGTACCTCTGATTTAACACTGTTTGCTGAGTAATACTATACACAAAGTTGCACTTTATTACGTTTTCAACCATTTGATTCTGTCCAAGCTTTCAACGGACTTCCGTGTTGAGGTAAGACACTCTGTTATAAGGATCTAGATAGTACGTTGCTCAGTGCATTGCATCGATCACACCTTTGCCAGTAACCGCTGGTGGTCACTTCAATCCCAGTCTGTGATATACGACACCTGACATGCTGACGGACACACAAAGCTGTGTTAACAACGCACTTGTTGAGTACACGATGCAACTGAACATGAAACATTGTACAGATACAATCTGTCTTTATACATATCTACATACTTTCACAGAACCACAGACCAATCACTGTCATTAACTGATGGAGGACACAGGGAAGGGGTATCATTCACGGATTCGTGAGTCCTTGATACAGAGTTATTGCCCTTGGTATGTAGTGATAGATTTACATCCACAGAGAAACTTTGTAAGTCAAGACTCCGTTAATCCGTAAACCATTCAGTCAATTCCTGGATTTAAGAGTCCTGGATACAGAGGTATGGCCCTTGGTATCTAGTTATAGATTTATATGTACAGAGAAACTTTGTTGGTCCCATCTGTAAAAAGGTTATTAGTCCAGACTCCTGCTCTGTATGATATTTAACATATTCTCCTTATCCAGGACAAGTTGATGTTATCGTGTTATTCTGAAACGTGTACGACATACTCAGGGTTGAACACAATGCATAGTCCAATTGTTGCCTTGAATGGATTCAAGATTTGTTACTTGTATATTTCTGTGCCTTTGATAATACGGTAAAGACATACAAATACATAATTGTATTGAGATCAAATTTTCCCTCAAGGTATCAAAAAACAATTTTGTTCTGAATTCATTTTCAAAGCACTGAATCACATCCAATGTCATAAGCAATAGAGAGAAATTAAATGTATTTTTCTGAGACTGTGAATTTTTAACAAGCTCAAACTATCAGATAAGCAAATTTCATGTCACTTTAGAAAGAGTTGGCACTGACAATAACTTTGAAGTAGTCTAATCAATAGTAATATGTGTATAACATTGTTGTCACTCATTATTAAAATTCACTGCAACTATCATGCTTTGGAATTATCTTTCCTTATCAAATGTTGTCCTACATTGGTCAGATCTCTTTGTCATAGAACGGAGGCCAGGTTGTAGGTGCCTTGCATTAGACATATGGTTACTGCTCAACTTAAAATTAAGAAACTGAATTAAATCAGTGTTGTTCCAGGGTAATAGATCCCAAGCAAGAGAGGCGACCAAGGGGATCGGGCGGTCAGGCTCGCTGACTTGATTGATGCATGTCATCGTATTCCAGTTGGACTGGTTGTCTGGTCCAGACTCGATTATTTACAGACTGCTGTTATATAGGCGTACTATTGTGTCGTGTGACGTTAAACTACGAATAAACAAACACTCTCGGCTTTACTCCCACATTAACGTGAAAAATGATCAATGCGGTGATAAACACCTCTCACTCACTGTGGAGAGTTTAGTGAGCTTTCACCTGGACATTTCTTACTGGACGGGGTCAAGTGAGTTAATTGTTTTTCACCGCTATGAAGTGTTTTTCAATTAAACCACAGTGTGTGCGTTAATATGGGAGAAAAGTCCAACGTGATGCAGGTCTTAAGAGGTTTGACCACCATTGTGAAAACTAGGAGCATGAGTGCAGTGGGGACAACCAAATAACCATAATCGGGGACATCTGGAATTCGAACCCACAATCACAGGATCCTGGCACACATAAGCGTTGCAAACACTCTGCCACAATTATGCTCTACACCATTCTCTATTGTGAGGGCAGCATATCAAGAAACCAGGTGTTGATGTTATTCGAAATCCCTGAGGCACAGCCAACACCTGGATAGGGACCGTTTCCTCATCCTCATGAGGGAGACCCTATAGAGGTGTCCTTGTCTCATGGGAGAAGTGACTTTGCAGTGGCATGTATGAGCGTTCGCTTGCAGTCAGTCAGTGAGTATGGTTTCACGCCGCTTTTAGCAATATTCCAGCAATATCACGGCGGGGGACACCAGAAATGGGCTTCACACATTGTACCCATGTCGGGAATCGAACCCGGGTCTTCGGCGTGACGAGCAAACGCTTTAACCACTAGGCTACCCGACCGCCCCTGCGTTCGCTTGCAAGATGGTACGGACTCCACACTATATTGTGTAGGCGTCACGGTACTTGCTGCACTTTTCTGTCTGAGTAGGGTATACATGCTGATCTGCGGCATGGTATCTCACACGCACGCACGCACGCACGCACACGCTCGCACACACACACACGGCGCGGCGTTGAACCCCATTTCACCACACCTCCCCTTGTCTGGTCAGGCCTTCTGGCTGGGCTGATTGCTGCTCTCAAGTACCCCGTTGACGAGTATAGTTGCGTATATTTTCAGTCACTAGTTTGCATAATCTGGACTAAAACGCAATGACGAATGGCACGGGTTTGGTGCTGACGAACAAAGAAAGATAATCATGGCAAATTCGGATTCGAACCCTTGTTTCTGGCACACCAGGGACGAACATATGCAGAGCGAATTCCGGGCCTAACCCGATTATACGTTTTGTCATGTTCTCTGAACCGAAGTTGATTTTTCCCATTAGGCGACAGCAACGAATACATCTGTAGCCTCTAAAAACAAACACACTTCCGTGAAGAACCGGGTTAGAATGGATCCGCAGAAACCCACGTGTGTCCTAAGAGGCGACTCTTCTGTCGTCATCGGACTATCAGTCATGCTGACTTGGTTGATGCATGTCATCTAACCAAATTGCGTAGATCCATGTTCATGGTGTCACTCACTGGATTATCTGATGCACACTCCAGTGCGGAGTTCAACAACAAACAAACAGAAACAGCCATACACAAAGACATGCTTCATTGTTATACACTTTGAGTGAAACAACAAACAATCAACGTGAATGGGGAAACAGTCACATTCGGTGTCACGTCCACAGCAAGTGTAAATCAGTGTCCAGAGGTTTAGGCCAAATCACAACTTTCGATCTTCAAGCTCTTGTGTCTTGGAGAATCTAAAATATAAACAACCTGTCAAATATGCAACATTTTTGACAACTAGAAAATGGAATATTGATCAACCGATAATTGAATGTAAAAACTCAAATTTGAATCGTTCTACGATAGGCGTGAATTTTGCCATTAGCAAGGGTTTGGTGATGACAAACTTAGGAAACCCATGGTTAAAGGTTATTCATTCAATTTGACGACAGCAGTTAATACATCTGCAGGCTCTAGAAACAAACATACCCCAAGTGTAGATCCGGGATAGAATGGGTCTTCAGCAGACCATGCTTGTCGTAAAAGGCGACGGGTGGTTAGGCTCGCTGACTGGGTTGGTGTATGCCATCATCCCATTTGCGTAGACAGATGTTCATGGTGGCAATCACTGGATTGTCTGGTCGCTTGCGGCGTTAAACAACAAACAGGCAAACAATTAAACAAACATAGCATAAAAATGCTTCAGTATTGTACGCTTTGATCAAAACTACAAACAATGAGCATGGAAGGGGAAAGAATCACATTCCTTGAGATACCGTTTCACATCGTCAAGTCCACACCACTTGTACATCAGTGTCCAGAGGTTAAGCCATTTCACAAATTTCGATCTTCAAGCTCATAATTATGTCTTTGGGAAACTAAAATATCTACACAATGTTAACCATATAGCAATGACTACAAGAGAAGGGGACTTTGATCAACAGATAACTGAATTAATATATTGAACATTTGAAACCTCGTCGTTCTACAGTGCATGTGAAGTTACTGCTGAACATGGCCCATAATGTCTAAACAAACAATTTACTGCCATGTCCCTTTCAGTCCCGAACTCCGTCCACATACATGTACGTTGTCCATATATCTATACCTCTGGGAAAATGTTAAGCATGTTAAGCGTCCCATAACAATAGTTATATGACTACCCATTCACCCTTCTGCTTCTCCGTACGAATCATCATGCAGTCATCTGGAGAAGCATGCATTGCATTGTCCTATAAGCAGATATCAGCATCAAAAGGTCATCAATATCACATTATGAGTACATTCTAAACATGGAGATCTATCAAACTGATGTCACGAACTAAATCCAAGCAGTCCACAATTCATTTCAAATTAATTGTTTGTATAATATCAACAGCCCTTACAATCTATCACTAGTCTCGGACCAGCAGACAAGTGGCCATGTCGACCCGACATAACTCCCAACCAATCACCCGTTAACACGAGTATTTCATCACCTGATATTAAAGGGTTCCAATGTACCGTACTGTAAGTCTATACTTCATATGTAACTGTTCACATTATTATATTTGATTTGATGTTTGATTGCAGACACACTATTGAATATACGAGTCAGATTATTATCATAATGTAAACGGTTGGAATGATACCAACAAACTATGCTCATAGAGGGTATACTATAAGTTTACTAAATCATATTACCTTTGCAGCAACACCTGTACATTCTAAAGGACAAGATGGTTGTTGAGTTGAATAGAATAGATGTTAAAATGTCAATATTATCAATTTGAGTGATTATTGGAAACAGTTCAACAACAAAAGTCTTTTACTTAATCAAGCTATTCACATGTTAATGTTAGGTAAATATGACATGGTTTTGTACAGCAAACACGATATACGATTGACATATTTCTTAAATGTGCATAGTCAACATTTATGAATGATAAGAAAAGTGAGAGTACAAATAATAAATAAAGCAGAGAGATTAAGGGCGACAAATGTTGGAGTTAGTGTAAACAACAAACGGAAGTTGACAGAATTGATTATTGAAGGCACACATTCTCTTTCATCACTTCACACACATTCAGTCATGATGCCCTCTCAATAATATTGACATGTGAACATTCAAATTGTGAAGAAGACATTCTATATATCAAATACACTCACAATGACTGCAGTTTGGTGGTATAGTAATTGTACATAAATTGTCTTACCTATTCCTAAATTATTAGAATAGTTGACAAATATCATGAATGAGACGTGCATCTCAGATCATTATTTTCTGATAGTAGACTTCTCTACTGCATTTCAAACTGCATATGTAATCACACAAATATATTTTTCGAAAATAAAGAATAGTACAGATGTATGGCACATTAATTTAAACAAAACATCGCAAATGATGTATTTCATATGTTTTTGTAAACAAAGAGGCTTTTACAAGAAAAAATAGTGTTTTAGTATAAAAGATGAGGGGGATAAAACTAATGAAACAAAAATATACAATATATGCGAAAACAAATATGGGCATTCTTTATACAGGTGGGGGCAGGAATAACATATACGTCAGCCGATTTAACCTTCTGGGGGCGTGCCTGTACCAATGAAAGTTGTCCGGGGGGAGGGGCGGGGGGAGGTGGTCGGTGTGTGGTGGTGGTGGGTGTTATTTTGCGACACTGGGACATAAATTGCTAATGTGTCCTTTCTCAACACCAGCTGCGGTTTTCTAAATTTAGATGTGACATACTGTTTCCGGTTCCAAATTCAATACAGGGACAAATATACAAATAACACAGCTCTATACTGTAAACACGGCCTGTGCATACTGTGCATTAGATTCTTTCCCAAATACAGCGTGTCGTTCAACTTACCTGCATCAGCACCTGTAGTTGGTGGATCAGAAGGGAAACGGTAGCCTCCATTAACAATGTCCCAGGAAAACCCATATACAGCGAATCTGCTGGCAGAGCGGATGATGTATATGCCGAATGAACAACTTCTTCCCGCTTTGTAATCACTGCCGGGGATGTCCACCCAGTCCAGTGTAGCAGGGGCCATATCGCCAGTAAACACTTCAATATCCATTACATGTTGTTTAGTCAGTATGTTTATACACTCTGTATCAGGAATCAATGCACTGTTCACGAAATACGTAACTGGAACTACAACAACAAACCCATGCTGAGATACATCTGTGCCGTTTCTACACAGGGTTGCCATGACAGGCCTTGTCGCGTTAAGATATAGACTCTCGTTATAGGCGAGGTATTGGCGATATACACGGTTGTCACCCAGAGAGAATGTAGATCCATTGTTCAACATAATTTCAGCGTCGCTCTGGTCACTAATAACTTGTAGCTGGTATGTCGCGTTCCTATAATAGGAGTCGTCACCTGTATACAAAACATACTCCGTCCCATGATGTCGTACAGGTAATAGTTGCGTCACGGCCGTGAAGTAATCGCCTTGCATTGCCCCACTGAACACAGCTACAGTGTTTGTTGTGTTGATTACAGTTCCAGTCAGGTCATAGTCACTCTTCATTGTGAAGGTCTGATACTCATCTAGAGTCACATGAATCGTGTCTCCGTCGTTGTAGGTCATGTTGTCATAGGTGACGTTCCCCTCCAGCATCAGCGTGATGTCCACGTCTGTCTTGTGGTTGTGGTTAGCTATCACTAACACCACGTGGCCCATGTCTCCCAGACAGGTTGATACTACATACCTTGACCCTAGGGCAGAGATCGGGAGGGGAGAAAAGAAGCCATTTCCCATGTATGTGTGAACGCCCATGTTCTTACCAAAGACATGGATTACGTAAGCCTTGTTTTCCACACCCACCGTCACCAACAATGACGGATCTATGTTAGCATAAGTGATCCCGTGTGGCGTTACAGTCCTTGTGTCGTTATATCCCAGCTGTGGATAATCAACCAGAAAGGACCCCCCTGTTTCTCCAGCTGCCACTGCAACTACATCAGTATAATGCTGATATTGAAAAGATGCCAGTAGGTAGCTCACACCTGGAAGAAGCATACACAGTTTGTTAGTAGGGTTTTAGATGGATAACACTTGCACATCATAGCTTCTGACACTTCCTCGGCAAGTCACAGTGACGGTGTAACTGTAGGGCATTCTGAACATTCCCACGCTGAATGTCGTTTTACAGCGATACAGTTGGTTGTTATATGACTGTAAGTATACATATGTGGCCACATCTACCGAATGGAAGTGTATGAAATAGTTAATATGAAAACATAAGTATGATCATGTGTGCTGCTGTGGATATGAATACGTCCCACTGTTATTATCGGTGTTAGCGAATCAGTGAGTCGCCATACATTTGGAAAGACAAGTTGAGCACCACCCTTCTTTATGTTCCTTTACCCCGACCTTCCATGTATCTCTGTACATATGACGTTGATGTCTGATATATGTCCAAGATACCACCGATATCTGTTGAAAATGTAGCTCCAGAATATTGTATGTTTCTTAAGATCATCATGAGTTCTGAGTCATATGGTAAGATGCAAAGCTTTAGAAGGATTTTCAAAAATCTTTAGCTATGAGTCAGTTAAAGCACATCACCTTAGATGCTAGTACTCGATTCCGGTATAGTATTTCAAAACGAGCATGTCATAATGGAAACAAAACCAAATGTGTCAAGTGATTTTAATTTTATTTTATTTTATATGGAATGTACTCCGAGCCGACCATTCTTTGTTTTATCCCCATAATGCCGACATTTTACCAACACTCAAATAATTGATATATTCAGATATTTTTAACAATTTTATATATCATGAGACTTTTAATATACTCAACAACAAAAGTTCCTGTGACACCAATATTTTAGTGTATTTTTCAAACAAGTAATGTTTGGTTTTCAATATTGTAGTACGTGTATGGGATCAAATCAACGCAACTTCTACAGAAAAGCTACAGAAAAGCATGCATTCCATGCAAAAGTTAACTTTTATGCAAGCCCCATGCATTTCACTACCCAAGAATGGGTATAAAAACATGTGCGTTAACGGGATTCCATATGCATTGTTTAGCATCGTGCTGACAACAACCACTCAGAAAAAATACAACATTACGCAGTTATTCAACATTACGAAATGCCACACCTGTCCAAAAATGAGTGTCTGCGAGCCATTGGAATGCTTGAAGAAGGATCGAGTCAACGTGATGTTGCAAGACAATTTAACGTCCACAGAAACACCATTTGGTGTTTATGACAACGTTGGCAACAGATGAATGCAGTAAGAGACTATCCTCGGAGTGGCAGGCCACGTGTAACCAATAATCGACAAGACAACTGGATTCGAACAACACACCAACGAAATCGATTCCAGTCAGCAACAATGACTGCAAGAAGCATCTCTGGCCTTTGACGAATATCTTCACAAACCGTACGTCGTCGCCTCAGATGTGCAGGGCTTGTCGCCAGAAGACCCGCCAGACGTCCCATTTTGACAGGAAACCACCGTCAAGCACGTCTACAGTGGTCCAGACAGCGTCTACGCTGGACGGCCATGCAGTGGGGACAAGTTCTCTTCACTGACGAGTCTCGTTTTCACCACAGCCACAGCGATGGACGGATTCGAGTGTACGAACGACGAGGTGAACGTTACGTCAGTCATTGTGTCATGGAAGAAGATCAGTTCGGGGGCGCCGGCAGCGTTATGGTATGGGGTGGGATTACAGCAAGACAGAGGACCCGTTTGATAGTGGTAGAGAGAAATCTCAATGGACAGCGCTACTGCGACGAGCTCATCGGCCCTGATGTTCTACCGTTTTTGCGTCGTCATGGCACAGGCATTACCTTTCAACATGACAACGCCCGGCCTCATATTGCTTGACTTGTTCAGGATTCTCTTTAACAAAACAAAGTGAATGTCATCCCCTGGCCGGCTCGCTCCCCTGATCTCTCACCAATCGAGCACATGTGGGATGAGATGGATCGGCGCCTTCGACGTCATCCCCGTGTTCCACAGACACTCCAGGAACTTCGAAACATGCTCCAGCAGATATGGACAGATATCCCACAGAACTTTGTGCGACGCCTGGTCCATTCCATGAAACGAAGATGTGTTGCTTGCATCGCAACCAGAGGCGGACACACACGCTATTGATTTGTAAATTGACATTTTGGTATGTTCATGTTTTTTTTTTATGAAATCATGCATTTTCTGAAGTCAGTATGGCAAATTAAACGCTTTGAACATTAACAGGAGTCTTTTATCTGTTGCAAACCGAAATTGTTTCAGATTTGGTAAAAAACATAACTTTGCATTAACTCTTATTCAACTTCACAGGAACGTTTGTTGTTCAGTTTATTATATTTAAGGATTACAACTTTGAAATACATATTTGTTATTCCACATATTGTTTTAATTGCATCACATTGGGCTTTTCTCCCACACCAAGCTGACATGCCATGATATAACTGAAATACTGCTCAAAGCGGCTTTAAACAAATCTCGCAATTTAAAGAAGCTATGTCTATACTTATACCCTCATGGTATTCTTGTCCGCCAGTCCGGGTGTTGGTAGATACAGGTGTGGGTAGTGTCGTTGCACTTGCGGCAGTTGAGGCCGGGGTTTGTGTCGTCAGAGTTGCTGAACCTAAACAGAAACCAGATCTTGGATACTCTTTTAAGAGTTGCTAGTCCGAGGTTTCAAATCACATAACATTCTTCCTAACATGAACACAGCTAATATCAATGTCGCAGCTTCGCGTATTAATTTCAACACTACTCAACATTCGATAGCTTGCGAAATTTCGGGAAATTTTTGTCATGTCTAATTCATACATGTGGAATATACATAATCCCTAAAATTACATGCTTATTATGTATATATACATATGACCTTTTTGGTACTATTCTTTTGGTATCAAGACTTGTTTGTGCATTCCATCTCTAGTACAGATTCTATTAGAAATGCTCCAATTTGGAATGCTTCATGTAGTTGCAGCTGGCAAAACTACCTGGGACTCACATAGTGGTAGGGGTATGTAATAAGGTTTCCTTCTCTGCAGTCATGCAGAATGTAGAATGACAGACACGACGTGACTGGGCCATGGGGTTACTATGACACAGGGGAACTCAGGCGTACAGTAGAGGACATAACAACATGTGCAGACAAATGATCCATTTGTCCTCCCCATGACCCGCGTATTAACCTTGAAGTTCAAAACTACCCTGGGGAGGAGTTGAATCAACTACTTGTAATAACAGATGTGCTAGAAAGGAATTTGATAGTGGAGGCATGCCTCATGAGTCAATGTCTTGTTTAAAAGAAAGAGAAGGTAAGAAATGTTGACGAGATAGTTCACTGTATCAGATCCTGTGGAGTTTCATTTTCTGTTTCTGAAAAGAGGTAGAGCCAAAAATTAAATTATACTCTCGGTGCAGGAAAACAAATAAGCTTTTGAATTATCTATCTCCAAAGCTTTGAGGCTAATTAAATCCTGACACCGAGAGCCAGCGTCCCTGGTTTTGCTGCTTGCTATGGCTCTATTCGTGGTTCAATTGTCAGGCCCTTGAAAAAATGAATGATGAAATAAATAAGATACACCAACCAAAATCAAATGTCCGGAAACGAATGGAGAACCATAGAGATCTTAATTGAGAAAAGAGCCAAAACACCAAAAGGAAGGTTGTGTATTGGCGAGAAACGATGAATGAAGGGAGAGACAGGCCAAAAGATCAAACATAACCAAAGAAATTACATCTTAACCATTCCGAAATGTCAGTTGGAGTGAACTGTCAGTCTCTGAGCTCTGTGACTTTCTAACAAACCCATCATGTGAAAACGAAGTCCACTTCAAGGCCCAAACTTCTGGAGATGGCAAGCAAACCTAACTGAAATTTGTACGTCTGTTGATGTGTTTAGGACATGTGATATCCTTGTGTTTAAGTTTAGCATAATGCAATATTAATTTCTTCCTGAAAATACATATTTTACCTCGATGCAACATTTTGTTTATGAAGTGTGTTAGCTGATATTTCGGCTTGTAAGGTGCTTGTATAATTGCTTTTGCATCACTTGTTGTCGTTTTTTTAAACAGGTTATATCGCAAAATATACTTGAAATGATTTACATATTTTACATAATATTCCAATTGTACATCAATAAATGATGAGGGTATTAAAGTACTATATACCAAATTATCCATTCATGAACAAAATTCAAAACTATTGTTTAAGTTATACACACAAACTGCAATGTATACTATCTACCCAGAATTTATTTACACGTGGGCTCGAACATACAATGTACAGCACGGGGGTAGGGGTCTTTATCGTTGTGCATGAGTTAGGTCCCATGTATCCTTGAGTATGCTCCTTTGCCCTTACCACACTGATCACAAACTTGTTTCTTACAACAACTGTCTTAAACGAGTCCTGAACAAACTCATTTACAATTAATTATGATCAAAATAAAACGTTAACGTCAGAGAATAGTCTCTCTTGATTATCTCCCGAAACAGATACAACTGGGCGAAAAAGGCAAAACAGTGGTAACAATTATGTGAATGTAGCACAACAAAACAGGTATGACACCAGGTATTAGCGAACAAGGGTCAGCATGTCCTGCTCTACTGGTCACGCCTATCAAGTCTTTGTTAAACAGTGTCTTGATTTCAATAATAACTTATTGTTATATCAAGCGGGCATCAACCACAAACATGTGTTGTTATACCTAATTATTTCTTCATAACAAACCCAGTTAACGTAAAAGATCAGTTGACACCGTGGAAACAATGTACTTATGGACAGCTATTCAAGGAATATGTATAAAACAGGGTTGTTAAATCAGGGAATATGTATACTCACTGAAACGTTTAGGGAATATTCCCTGCGTGAATCAAACATTACATATTTAATGTAGCACATACACTACATTCCAACATCATCGGTGAATACATTGGAAATATTTTGTGCAGTCGTTGTTTTTCAACCAACAAATCAAGCGACGGCGATAGAGCAACAACGAATACTCAGACCAACGA